ATCCATCCATCCATCCATCCATCCATCCATCCATCCATCCATCCATCCATCCATCCATCCATCCATCCATCCATCCATCCATCCATCCATCCATTTTCTTCCACTTTATCTGGGGACGGATCGAGGAGGCAGCAGTCTAAGCAAAGATGGCCAGACTTCCCGATCCACGCACACTTCCTCCAGCTGCTCTGGGGGGACCCAGAGGTTAGAGGCCAGCTCAGAGACATAGTCCCGCCAGAGTGTTCTTCCATGAGGCCTCCTCCCAATGGGACATGCCTGGAACACCTCCCGAGGAAGGGGCGATCCGGACGCCTCTGGAACAAACACCTAAGCCACCTCAGCTTGGTCCTTTCAACATGAAGGAGCAAGGGCTCTACTCCGAGCTCCTCCCGGGTAACTGAGCTCCTCACTCGATCTTGAAGGGTGTATTCGAAATCTTGTCCTTTCGGTCATTACACAGATCTCATGACCATAGGTGAGGGTGGGAATGTAGATCGATTGGTAAATCGAGAGCTTTTCCCCCCAACTCAGCTCCCACTTCACTGCGACGGTCCTATACATCGACCGCATCACTGCCGACGCTGCACCGATCCATCTGTCAATCTCACACTCCATCCATCCCGCATCTTCCCATTTCATTAAAATAATATATTCCAGAATATTCCAGAGCAGAAAACTGCATCCTTTGAGCTCCTAAAACGTACAAACGCTCTGCTGGTCATTTGATTAGCAGCAGGTTGTCTTTTGTTCCGAAAATCTCTATAAAGAACCAGTTTTGTTTTCAACTGTTTCCGCATTTCAGCACAGTTTTGATCATATCAACAGACCCTGTAAATCTGCATGCTTTTGCTCATCTAAGGTTTTATTTATGTAATCATTAGACATAATAAGGGCGATCTATTTATGAAAAAAGGATAAGGACCTGCCTTTTAAAAGTATATATAATGAACTTTAGATGGTTTAACCCTTTATTTGTAGTTGTGCTGAGGTTATAATGAACATCTAGTGGAGCTGGGAATGACTGGGTGTGAAAAATCCACTTCAGATCCAGGCCGTGTTCTTCCCTGCTGTTTGCTGGCCTTGGATAAATGTTTCTAGTTCCTCTTCAGGGACTCTACTGTGCAATAAAGTGCTAAAGAAGCACAAACAGGCTTTATTATTATGTTCTTCTTCAACCTCCCATTTCCCCACCTGGGAGTGGTGGGTTCAAAATGTTACTGTTCAATCCTCTGAAGCAGCATGTGGGAGATTTATTCTCTTCATCGTGTGCTCCCGTGTTCTGGTGGAGCATAGGGTCAATAAACACATCGACACACCCGTGATTCAGTAGCAGGTGGATGTTACCCTCAACAAAAGATTTTACTCTAAATAAGTCAATTTTTACCCATTTTATAATTTTTCCTTAAATTGAGCAGATAAGGGAGACATGTTGCCAATGGAATAAGACAATTTACATTTGAAGTAACACAAAAACAACTACAGTCTCTTATTTCCAGTGCATAATATCTAATTATTTTAATTCTAAGGGTAAAAATGCTCATTCCATTGGGAGATAATCTTATTTTCCTGCTTAGATTAAGGGTAAATACACAAATTTTAAGAAAGTTTATGTTTAAACATTTATGTTTAAACTAGGGCTGAAACATATAATTGGATTAATCTTGATTAATCTATTATTAAAACAATTGTTAACTGATTTAGTAATCGATTAATCGTTAACAGGAGTATAGAGACTCTAAATAATACCTTTAGCTGACAGAATGACCCATCTTGAGCAGCAATATATCAAAATTGTAAAAAAAAATATGTAAATATTTTGCATTTAAGATAAAAAACCTTTTTACCTGTCAATATGTTCTATCCAGAACTCCTTAAGTGGAAAATTTTAGTTTCACCTGTTTTACTTTCATAAAAAAAAAAGTTCTTTGCCTATCCAATTATTAATCGATAATTCAAAAACATAATTAACAGATTAATCAGTTGACAAAATAATTAGTTGCAGCTCTAATTTAAACTCCAGAAAAAGGAAAAAAAAAAAAAAAGACCTCCATTATCATATTTCATGGGCATAATATCAATTGATATTATTTTAAGGCCAGAAATGCTCATTCTAATCGCAGATTATCTTGTCTTCCTGCCCAAATTGAGGCCAAATACACATTTAGATCAGCTTTTGCAGTGCAGGGGATATTTAGACCAAACACTCTGGAAAAGGACACAGATGAGGGATCCCATTTTCAGTAGACCTTAACGTTTTAACTACAATTTTTCTTCTCAAGCAGCCACCTGACTTTTAGGAGCAGCTGTGCAGTGGCTACACTACAAAAAATGCAAATCTAAATAAGTAAATCTCTCTTAATTTAAGTGCATTTGTCTTGAATTGAGCAGGTAAGGGAGACACTTTGCCAATGGAATTAGACAGTTTACATTTAAAATAAGAAAAAAACAACAGCAGTCTCTTATTTCAAGTGCATAATATCTGATTAAGGCTAAATACACTCATTCCATTTGCAGATCGTACCATTTACCCACTCAGATTAAGGGTAAATAGACTTATTTTAAGAATGTTTTTCTCATTTTAGGATTGTTTTTTGCAGTCTAAAACAAAAGGCTACATGCTGCCCAATAAGACACTCAATAGATAATCAATAAATAATTAAAACGTATTCTCTGCAAATGGTTACTAATGTGCAAATCTATGCTTGAAGTGCAAAGCTAGTGCCTGCATGTTAAAGTGCTTTAATAGTGTGTTGTATGGATTACCCCAGCAGATATAACAAGAGTAACAAAGTCCCCTCTGTTCCCTAATCATTTAGAGAAAACATAACACATTTTATACCTCTTCTTTATTTTCATTTCTTGTGTAAAAAAAATGTTTGGATACTGAAGATTTACTTGTAATCATCTCAATAAATCAGTATGCAAAAAAAAAATCCATCCAACGTTATTAAAAAAGATCAATCTTTATAATCAATTGATGTATGATTTCTTGCGATATGATTAACCACCAGAACTCTAAAGTTATGACTTACTGTCCTAAGATGGCATTCAGATCACCTTCCATCTAAATTTACAGATTGTCTAGAGCAGAGGTCACAAATTAGCAGACCGGATCCGGACCCAACCTGATTTAAAACATTCAGAAATTACCACATGTTGTAACTTGACTTGTGCCGCTTCTCCTGTTAATACGGTAAAGCCCTCCTGAGCCTCCGGCACTGGGCTGCACGTGATCCAAATGATCCAATGAGCTGCTGTCAGTCTGGGTTGCTGCTGCTGCTACTTTTAGACACAGCAGGCAAACCTGTGGCAAGCCGGGCGATGGGAAAGAAGGGGAAGATGATGAGAAAAAGAGAGCAGAGAAAGTGTGGACTGCTGGAAGAACTGAGGTGAACTGGTTAAAGAAAAGTGAAATGGTGCTCAAAGATGACCCTGAACATTTAGAGGATGTTTGACTCAATCTGCTAGCCTGACGTAGTCCGACTCAATTCTAGTCAGAATATGAGTCTGATACTGCTCCATAGAGCTGTGATTATGGGGCGTGTTTCGAACGAACCAGGAAAAAAAATTCCTCTGCACTCAATTGGATAGACCTACAACCAATAAGAGCAACGGAGTGCGTGACGTATGTTAAGCCACGCATAGTTGTTGTCAACAAAAATCAAAGCGTGCAGTTTCACGCCTAGAATAAGATGAGCCTTGATCGCGTTTCTCTGTTCCTCTTTTAAAATTAATTTGCTGTGACGTGGTCGATTACGTCACTGTTGATCATCTGTCCATCATCGTATAAAGCCCGCCCTGACAATTTGATTGGCCCGCCAGATATTGTGCGAGCATACTCGCACTACTATTGAGCAATGCCAGACCGAACCTCCCGATCTCAAACGCTGTGGGCGGGACTAAGTTCGGAATGGCACCCAGGCTACCAACCTGCTGCTGTGAAGCAGGATTCTCCACCATGAACAGAATCAAAAATAAATATGGATCCAGGCTCAGAATGAGCACCTTGATATGTGCTTGAGAATGGCTTAGTCTCCATTCAAACCCAGGTTTAAAGCCTTGCAGGGCAGCCTAAAGCCCACTGCTCTCATTAAGACAGAAAAAAATAAAATAAAATAACAAAATGTCAGTTCAGGTGTTTTTATAAAAAAGTGAGTCAGGAAATTGTCTATATACCAAACTGAACAATTGTTGTTCTCTACTTCAAAAACAATTTAGATTTTAAAGTTGAAAAATTTTCAATTTTTTTTCAATTTATTTATTTAAAAAGTCAGTGTATAACATAGATGCATAAACACCTGCATATTATTTCAGTGTCAAATTATGTTTAAAGTAACAGATTATAATTAAAAATGTCTCCTGACCTTTACTGGTTGATGATTTTCTTTACTCGGACCCCGCTGATTTTTAACTGGTTACTCCTGATCTAAGATGTTACTTTAGAAATAAAGTATTTTTTCTCCAACTGAAGGAGCTCGTTATGGAACACTGGGGCTTATATTTAAATTAATGTACCTTTCAGGTTGCTTTCCCCAGTTTTATTCACAGATATTGCTTTTTTTCCTGTAATTTACGGGTTCAAAACCAGAATTTACGAGTTCATTGCAAGTTTTTCCAGTTGCGTTCACAGAGCCTGCAGTTTAAACTGGTTGTTCTTTAGAACCTGCAGGTTTTGAGCTGGTTCTGATTTAAATAAAAGTTTTATTTCTAAAACATTCATAAACAGAATACTTTTTTCATATAAACATTATTTTCAAACAGACAATATATAATAAGAAAAACATCTATGTCTGAGTCCAACAATCATTTTGTTCCTTTTTATTCTATTGTTTCATGGAAACCATTTAAAAAGGAGAAATATTCCCAGCTCAGCTTTAAACAGCAGTTCCTGAACAGTAAACAGACAACTCCCTGAACAAACCCAGAACATCACTGCTGTGCTTGCAGGAGGCTTTCTAAGAACACCTCACCATGCTGGGATTTCATACCCAGCATATTTTCACTACAAACTGTGTGCAGAGAGCCATCAGGTGAGGAGGCGATCCTAAAACACGCTCTGTTCCAGTATGTTTCTACACCTGTTCTTCCATTAGTGCTGCAAGCAAAGAGCATGTTTTGAAAATGGAAATAAAAAACTACAACCAAGATATTAATCTTTGAAACACTTCTGAATCAAAATGGTTTTGATAGTAAATTTTCCTTTTTTTTCTCCAAATTATTAAAAAATATCCTTTAAAGTTTTAAACCTTCTGATTTTATTTTTCAGATTTCTCTTTTTAAGATTTAAGTTTCACGAATTGCATTCATTTTCCATAACTTCCAGATCTATTCACTTCTTTGGGAGGGCTTTCCTCTGTAGTGAGCAGTAAAGATGCATTTCTATTGGTCTGCATGGACGTTTGCAATGACATTTACATCATCTGTAATAACCCGCTTGAAAAGATTGCTATTTGTAAAACTCAAATCGAAAACAGAAAAATTTGAAAAAAAAAATAACAAAATCAGAGAAAACAGCAAAGTTCCTCCAAAACCTATTTTCATTAAAATGTTTTTCAAAGATTTATTTCTAGAATTCATTTTTAAATTTCCATTTACAAAATTTACTTTTGTTGCTTGCAGCAGTAATGACAGTAAAAACCCCTGCACATTAAAGAACGTCTCTAGATGCACAGAGTCTACAATAGGTATCAAGATATCACAGAACAGCACTGATTTTAATCCCCCTTCAAAATGAAATTGCTTTAGGTAACAAAGATCCATCCGTTCGTTCCTTAGTTCATCCGTCTGCATCGATCCTTCCTTCTTCTTTTTTCCAGATCATGCAGGTTACCTCTACAAAAGTACTGGTTAGTTTCCCAGAAACTTAGAGATTGCATTTATTGTCTGTTTTTTTTTTTTGTCCTTTTTTTTTCCACAGCACAAAAAAAGAAATTATCTATTTTTATATGTTTATTGAAAATATACAGTAAATATCTCTATGTTGACTTTAAAAGTTGGTTTAAAGTTGTAATTCAAGAATAAAAGTGTCAAACTTTCAAAGATGGAACCATGAGCTGTGACTGAAATACCCAGAGGATAAATAACAGCAGGTTTAAAGAGCCTTTCTGTGTGTTAAATGCTACTTTATGTTTTTTTTATTTTGCAGGCGGTGAAACTGTCTCATTGGGCTCTGCTCAGAGATTCCATCTATTACACTTTTTCCATCATAGCGCTGATTGTGGTGAGAGGTTTTATTATTATGGAAGCATCATAGAGGAAACTGTTTCTTTACTGTCTGTCCCCTATGTATGGAGGGAGTTTTATTCCATTATTGTTGAAAGCAAAGAACAAGTTTGAATGAAAATTTAAAAAAAGCGATATGAAAATGGAATGTTGACAAATTTCTTGTTCTGAAAATGTTTTTAGAGTAACTTTGGTGTGTTTTTGAGTCATTTTCCAATTTTTTTCCCCATGATTTTATTTTAAATGTATTTCTTTTTTTTTTTTGCAGATTATATATTTAAACAAAGAGATTGAGTTGAGATCCAGATTGAGTTTTTCAAATTTCCTTTTTTAACTGGTTTGTTTTATATCACATTCTATTCGCTACTGGGAAGGGGTTTGCTTTCCTCTGGAGTGTGTAGTAAAGACTAATTTCTATTGGTCTGTATGTAAAAGAATACAATTTGTAAAAATCGATCTGAAATAGAAAACTTTGAAAAACATAATCTGTAAAAAAAACAAACAAACAATAAAATATAAGATTAAAAAAATATTAAAATCTGACAAATAAAAAAAAATTAAAACTGAGTAAACAAGAAAGTTTCTCTCCAAGCCTGTTTCTCTCTTTTTGCTTTTACCGATAATGGAATAATATTCATTCCATAGTCCTTTGACTGGAAAATAATTCAATAAAAGAGGGATTCATCTTTTCCAAACTGATAAAAACTAAAATAAGATCATTTTAAATATAACTTGGATCCTTTGTCTCTTACAGAAATGTATTTATAAGTATTATACCTTTAAACAATACTATATGGTTTCTATGACCATGACTATAATTCAGATGCTAAGATGTCCCATTGTTGTCCCCTTGTCTTCCCTGCTTAGTTCATCTATGATGAGAAAGTGTGCTGGTGCGTATGATTTACACTGCAACCAGAAGTACATATAAGGAGGGTTTGTAAAGCTCTAAATAACTGTTGTGGTTGCAGGTGGGAATCGCTGGTACTGATCCTCATGTACGCTGTCTACATCCTCATCATGAAGTGAGTCACATTAGAAAAAGAAAATTAAAAACAATCCACTGGACTTTGCTTCCAAGTTTAAAGACATTTTGCTTCCCAGCAGGGAAGCTTTTCAGTTCAAGGTTTTATACAGTAGCCCAATAAAGCCTTGTTTTTGTTTCGTAAAACATGCAAATTGGAGCAGATAAAGGGGTCCACCTATTTGGATTGGGTGGACCCAAATGATTAACCCAGACTATGACCGTGATGACTAAGAACCTTCACCAGCATAAGTCACGTTAGAACAACACAAAGTCTCTCCAAGTTGTTTTCTGTTTTTAACTGATCGTGTTGTTCTCAGGTTCAACGGAAAGGCTCATCGTTACTTCAGCCAAAGAAAGAAGGGCTCTGGGAACCTGGCGAACGGGCTGACGGGAAGCACGGATCTGGATGATAATGTCTCATATGATGCGACTGCAGTTCTCCTCAAGAAAGGTACCAGAGGTCCTTAAATCTTCACTGAAGTTGGAGTGAATCATAATGCTAATGCTGGGGGCTAAGGATGCAGTTTTTACTGCTTTAACTAGTAGTGTCCTGCTAGTATGTGGGAGGAGCTTGTTGAAAAGACAAATAATACATCTGATTTGAGTGCATAAGTATAATTTAACCTTTATTTTAAAGATTTATGAATCAGAAACAAGCTGCTCTATTTGCAAAGTTTGTGTATACAAGCAAACAATGTTAATTTGATTTCACTTGTTCTTAATGAGGATGTTTTAAATATAAATAGATTTATTTCTCTTTTTAAAGTGTTTAACAAAAGAGAAGGACAAGGTTGAATGAGCTTATTATATGCTACTACTGGGATTATGACGTCATCGGCAGTAAATAAAAATCATTCTTTCTTAAAAACCAAATCTGAAGTAGCACTGAAAAAGTCTGCTAGATCATTTGGTTCCATTCAGAGCTTAATGGGGGGATAGTTGACCTCTGGGTGACGCAGAAAATAATCTATGCAGACTGCAGAGAGAGGGCTGCTGCACACGAGCTAACGTTAGACCTGGCTGAGGTTAGCCTCAGAGCTCCGCTGGTTGCCGCAATCCTCTCAACTTCAGAAAAACATTTTAAATTATGCATTAAATCAGTAAATGGGCCATATAGTGATGCTTAAAGTCATAGGGAAGTCATATTTAAATGTCAAATCATTGTGGCTTAAACATGTATATAAATGTACTCTTTATCAGACCATATTGTCCCGAAAGTTTGAAAATTTCTTTAAAAAAAAAAATCCTGTCTTAATCTGTAGGTTTTTTTTCATTATTTTATGCAGGCCAGTTAGTTATACGTCAGGCTGAACACCTAAATTCGGCCAATCACATCAACAGTCATCTGTCAGTTGTTCACGGGGATGGACGTCTGTGTCTTCTGCAGGCGTAGAGCTAACAGAACTGGCAGCGTTGCGAGGCAAGGGCTCAAACATGAGGGAGGGGTGAGAACAACATCCTGGGACTTCGTCCATTCTCTGCCTACTTTTCTAGTGAATTAGAACAGTACTAGGGGAGGCTGATGACGTTTCACGAGCACATGAGAGCGCACAAGTACACATATTGAGAAACGGCCCTTGCTAACAGTGCTACTGGTGTTAGCAATGCTTTAAACCCTATCCTCAGAGCTGTTGTTCCATGAGGCGTTCCAGCACGGTCTGGACTTATTTAGTAGCCCTGTCTATGGCCCCAACCTGGCTTTCTGGTAGTTCAGCAGTACTGCCAGCAGATGGCTGCATGTCTGATGTCAGCTCTGCACCTGATGCTGAGGTTCTATTTAGGCTCAAACAGGTTCATCTAAACACAATGAGGACAGACACTTGGAACATACAGACTTATTTTATTATAATAGACTGGATTTTGATCTTTCTGTGTAGGCATATAATGCTAATAATAACCTTTTAATCAAACCTGGGTGCCTATAAAGGGATACAGTCCCTGCTGTCTCAGAGATTTTTAAACTAACCTAATTTTTCGTAGAAATGGACACAATTTGCCTCCTTTGATCGGGGACACTCCATCTAGCCTTTATTCAATATCAGGACAGATATTGATACCTGATCGGTCAATCTCTAATGGACGACCACAATTTTAACCCAAAACATCCAATGCAAAGAAAAAACTACTTTTTCTTAAAAAATACCTCGCATTAACTTGAAGCATGGTGGAGGAGGGGTCATGATATGGGCTGGGTCAACTTTATAATATAGTACATTATGCATTAAAAACTTCACGTCCATTCCTTACAAGCATAATTGTGATGGACTGATTCAAAGATAAGATTTAAGTGGCTAAACATTCCAAAAAAACATTCCTCTTAGATTTGTCAGGCATCAGAGATTAAATGTATGAGAAAAACATTTAGAGCTCTTTAAAGATGTTTCGTCGTTGATGAGAAGCATTTTAAAGGATTTCGAAGAAATATATAAAGACATTCAGGTGGGGGCGACCCCAGGTTATAGAAAATGGACAAAATGGACTTCAGGGATTATTGATTATTGCTCTGACAAACCTTTTCCTCTCCAGCTAACTTCCACTGTACACCGTCGGTGCTGATGGTGGATGAGCTGCTCTCTGCATACCCACACCAGCTGTCTTTCTCTGAGGCCAGCATGAGGATCATGATCACCAGTCATTTCTCCCCCAGAACTCGCCTCACCATGGCCTCCCGTATGCTTATCAATGAGGTACGGCCATTTTGACTAATCATGCAAACAGAATCTATTCAAATATAGAAATCCTTCCACCGTGTGTTTACTAGTTTATGGAGTGAATTTTGACACATTATTGTTGTGAGCTAAGAAAATATTCTGTAAATGTAAGTATGACAAAATTCAGCTCAGAAATCAAACTTCAAAAACATCCTAATCCAAATAAGGTTTACTTTTTTCTTTGCTGCTGTCTTAGATTTTATTGTTTGTATTATTCATTTTTTAATGTTTTCTTTGTTTAAATATAATATATTCTTTTGTATTTTTTTTTTTTTTTTTTTTTACAGATGTTATAGTTTGGACATAATTTTTTTGTCTTTGGTCTTCATGAACTTTATTTGCCATTTTATAGATCACAAAATGTTGTAGCTAAAATATGGTGTGAATTTTGTCCCATTATTGCTGCAAGCATAGAACTTATATTGCAAATGGAAAAAAAAAAAAAATGCAACCCAGAAAAGAAACTTCGAAAAAACGTTTTAATCAAATAAAGGTTTTGATAGGAACTTTCTTGTTTTCTCAGATTTTAGATTTTTAAAATGATTTTCTTATTATTATTATTACAAATACTTTCTATTTTTTTTCTTGTTTTATGTTTTAAAATTGTATTTTATCAAGCTTTATTTTTTTTCTATGATTTACAGATTTAGGATTTTCATATTGTATCTTTTTAACTGTTTCGTTTTCAGATTGTGTTTTAGGAAGTGCGTTCTTTACAAATTGTCTTTTATAGATTATAAAATGTTGTTGCTAACGTCCAGCAGACCAATAGAAATGTGTCTTTGCTCCTCAATCCATAGGAAAGCCCACCTCCAGAAGTGAATAGAATGTTATCTGTAAAATGCACTCTGAAAAGAATCTGTTAAACAATAATTGAATTAAAAAAAAACAACAATAAAGAAAAAATCTTAAGAGAGTTTCAAAGTTACACTCAAAATAATTTTTTAATGTTTAATTTTTGGATTGAAGTTTTTCATATTAATATTTACATAATGTATTTTTATTTTCAAAAATTATGAAACAAAATCCACTCCATATTTCCAGCTAGTCAAAAAAAAATAATCTGAGCTGAGCGTCTTAATGTTATCAGAGTTTTTTATGTTATTTACAGGATGAAAAACTGTTTTTTTCTGAGCATCAGCAACATTTTGTTTTTCCTGTTGTGATTTATTTAGAGACAGCGGCTTATTAATACCACAGAGACCCGAGTCAACTGCATCACCAACGGGGACTCAGACTCCGCTGCCCGAGCACTGGGGAGGCGGGGCTTAGAGAACGGGATGAATGCAGCTGAGCAGGGATTCGTTGGGCGTTGCCGGCTGCAGCGGCTGGAGTCCTGTGACGAGATGGAAAATGAGGACAACCAGAACAACCAGAATGATGAGGAAGGAGAAGAAGAGGACAGCGAAGGCCCTCTGGTGCCTTTTAAAGTCCCAGGTAGCGCACACATCTATTCTGGACAGATACTAATTATGGCAAGTAGTTAAGTTGTTTGTTAGTTGAAGCAAGACCTTTTCTTGACCCATCTTCTGTCTCTTTAAACAAACAAATAAATAAATAAATGACATTGATAAATCACAACACACTAAATTCAGTCAAAAAATGGGGGAAGCAAAGGCTTCTGGGTGCTGACTGTCAAACTCAAACAATGATTTTTAAACCCAGCCAAGAGTGGAAACATTACACGATAAACAGCAATGCATCCATACCAACACCTAAGGACAATTTAACCCGTCAAGCTACTAGTTGTGTTCAGATCCTGAAGGAAGAATCTCATATGACTGGAAAAACAGAAAGTCAAGGTTTGTTTTGTAAATTGTGCAAGAAATTAAAACCTTTTTAAGTTTTTTGTTGTTTTTTTACACTGAACCTTTGGTTCAAAGACCGAACTTAATGTGAACTCCTCTTAAAGTGAAATCCTTACATATTATGATACTCTCAATATTTGCCCTTCCTATAATGGGGAAGTACACCCCCATCCCGCATTCCCATTAAATGCTTTGGCTGTTTATTTTTTTTCTGAAGCTGGTAGGCCACGTTGCTTTTTGTAAAATAAATCATCTCATCAGCCAATAAATGATCAGCCAGTCACTCCTGA